TTCAAGGGCTATCCCATCTGGATTTAGATCTTGATTTTGACACTTAATAGCAGTCGCACTTTACAAGGCTGTGTGACATTTTCATTTATAAATGAAGAGCACAGTGAATCTTAGCCCATAAGTGTGCTGTGAGGATTAAATGAGTTACTCGCCCACAGTAAACTGTAATTATAACACACATATTTATGTATATATGTGCATGTATAATATAAATAATATAATAGATAATATAATTACATGTACTCACAAGTGTATGTCTTTAAATTTAAACTCCACATAATTATTTAATTTCTCTATTCTCAGATGCTGAGAATTGAGCTCAGGTTCATGTACATGCTAGGCTAGTGCTCTGCCTCCAACCCATTAATGTCATCTTAAAAATAAGTATTCATGAGGCATCATTCTGATGACTTCCTGTTTGCTATTTTAGGGAAGATGCACTTAAATCCTTTTGAGGCTGCTAAGGAATAACTACCTGTAGCATTTCTTGATGTGATTATCTGAGTCTTTATCAATCAGTACATCAGTGAAATATACTGCCAAGGAAGCAGAATTCAGTGACAGCTTGCAAGCTTTTATTACCGGCAACAGTGTTTGGCTGTGGAGAGTTTCCTTAAGTAAACTGGCAAAGGACTGAGCTTTTTAAGGCAAGTTTTCTGTTCACCTGTTGTGTTGGCCCTACAAGCTATGCAGTATTCATTTGTAAGTAAAAGTCTTAGACTGTAGAGCATGAGCTCACAATGTGTTTGAAAGGTGGATCTCGAAGGTGGTTCAGTGAATTACAAAATAAAAACTGCTATGCTGAAAGGAAACCTTTTAACTTGTTGACATTAACTGGGTTGAAGTTATCTGTATGGCATCTGTGAAGAAAGCTATGCATATAGGGGTCTTGCTAAATCAAGGGTTCTTGAAATTTGAGAAAATTATGTATAGGCAAATGGATAGTAGTTAAAAATAAGTTTTCTCTATTAACTTACGAGAGTTTTAAGAAACACTTTGCCAGGATCCACTATTAGTATGTTAGTTTGATCAACATTAGTACATGTGTTTGGAAGTAAACTAAAGCATTTCCTTGAAAATACTGTTGTTTTTAAGTTAGACATTTACAAATTTAGGTTGGCTTTCCTTCAAATACTATTCTTGGTTTGAATAAATTCCTCTCTGTATGTTCCTTGCTGGATCAGAGCACAATGTGAGAGTCTAAATTTCCTGCTGCTTCTTATGTGGTTTGGGGAGTCATTCTGTTTCATTGTGGCAGCCATGGAAGAGATGAGCTCAAGAGCTATTTTAACATCAGTTATTAAAACCACAGGTGATAGCCACCAGATGACAATCTTTGGATTCATCATAGAGTTCATCCAGGCCATACTTTCCAGCTTCTCCTAACCTTTTACCAGGCACAATAAATGCCCTAAAATCTGGTGTTGCTCTGTCTGCACTATTTCACATGGTATCATTGGCAGAGATCCATTGTAGGCATGGGATCCCACTGAGCAGAGCATCCACCAAAAAAAAAAAAAAAAAAAATCTCGCTTCACAGAAACGTAAGTAAAGAATTGGTCCAGACACACAGTATCACAGTATCTAAGTAGCACACATTGTGCTGTTTAGGGGAAGCTAGCCAACTGACATCACATGTAAAGCAGTAGATCAGAGAAGAATCTGCAAGGGTGGATAGTCATGTCTCAGGATATAGGTATAAGTGATAAATCAGAGATCTCTACATAAGACACTCTTTAGGAGAAAACATGGATCTGGGAACCAAAGGTTGAAAGTAACAGTGGCCAAAGGTCTACTGGGAGAACTTTCTTCTTTGCCTGTCACAAGTTTAGCCAAAAAAAATATTTCTAGGTCTTGGTTTTCAAAGCAGGCTGAGCAAGGATTCATTGAACTTCAGAATACATGGTCACTTGAAGTACCCTGTATGGAAGGACCATCAAACTGGAGTAACTGATTATGTAGAGGAATGAGGGTTTTCAATAAACTGGGGATACAGTCACCCACATGTGGAAGTCAGGGGATCCACGTGGTGCCCTTGTCCAGGTGTATCTGTGAAATGACACATGCAGCAGACCAAGACTGAAAACAATCTAATGTACAATGGCTGAGACCCATTAGAAATGACAGGTAAACCAATAAGGAAGATATGCTAACGTGATTACTGAGGCTGATGGGGATATGGAGTGGCTAGAGAACAGCACAGGGAGGACCAGTGAGGACTGAGGTTAAATGCCTATCAAGGGCTGTTATTTTTCCAGTTAGCCTCCATGCCCATGTCTTAGAAAGACGAGATTACAGACATCACAGGACAGCTTGTCACCACCATTCTTATGGACAGTATTCGATTCTCTGGCCCTGTGCTTTCAGATCCACTACAAAGATGGCACCAGACCCAACTTTCCCTGCACTGTTCTCAGAGTAAGCACAAATGAGATACTCTAGCTAATCCACTGTAGCTCAATTTGCAGTTCTTTTAATGGACAATTTTGGCTTAGAGTAAAGGTTTATAAGAAGAGACAATACATTTAGCACTGTATACTAGATCAACCAGGAAATTCCATTAGTTGAGAGAACACTGGTTGAAAGTTTTGAGAAAAAAAATTCAACGGGTAAAAAGAACAATACAAAGGATGATATAAAGGTGGTAGGAAGAATTTGAGGAAGCCCCTAAAAACTGGTTGACCTTGGTAAATGGCCTTACCATATTTTCCCCTTTATTTATAGCTATATAACATAAGGCTAACAGAGAGAAACAAAATATAATGCTCAATATGTAGCTTTAAGGAGAGAAAGTTATTTTTCTCACCCCCTCTTGAAAAGTGGCAAGGATTTTTTTTTTTTTAATACTAGAAAATATCAAATGAGTCTTTGGGAACTTTACATTTATTTCCTCAAAACCTCAACATGTTGATTACTGATAATTCACACAACCTTCTAGAAATAATGATAAACAACCAGGGTACTCTTCCTAATATTGCAGTTTTTCTTACAGGCTTTTCCTGACCCTAGGTAACCAGGCATCACCCTGACCTTCCAAGTTATCTTCCCCTCCCATCAACATAACCTCTCAGAGTAAGCACTCTGGCACTCCAGTAAGGCCAACCTCTTGATGTCTTTGTTTTAAGATGTAACTGCTTCTTCTGTTTTTATCTTTTAAGCCCTATTCTATTCAAGCTACCTTTCAGGCCAATAGGCTCAACTTCCACTATCTTGCCCTATGCATTACATAAATTATTACTTGCAAAATTTTATATACCGTACTATGAATGTTTAATTTGTATGTTTTATCTCTAACTAGACACCAACATCTCAAATATTTAACTGACTTGGTCAATAATTACAATCACAGAATTTTAACACACATGATTTTAAATACTGATAGTCATATACAAATTTTCAGTGCCACAGTGACCCATAACAATTATTTGAGGCCAATCAAAACATTGCAACATGGCAAAACTGAATACTTATGTGTATCTGACATAATTTGAGGTATCTTAAACATACTACTTTCATTGTTAGCATTTCTTTAGCACCCTGTATCTGTCTGTTCAATTATGTTGGCTTTGTTTTTAAAACAGACCTGTTATCTTTTCATTTCTCATCAAACCCATTGTCTTGTTGTTAGGTCCCATCACCTCTCCCCGATCATTAAAAGGTTTCTTTTCTAAGAGCTGTGTTTTCAACCTTGCAGTGCTTTAAAACCCGTCGTCCACACAGGACCTTCAGCCATATCTCTGTTATAAAGTCTGAGGTGGCCCACAAGACCTTACATGATCATTCCTCTCCACCACCTGACTTCATCTTCCATTACTCTCTGGTCCCTCTTTTCTAGTCACAGTAATCGGCTTTGTTCCTCTGCTACAAATTTGGGGTTCACAACCTGTGCCCTAAGTCACATCCTTCCACCAATCTTCAACTACAATCCAATTAAAAGAGTCAAGCTCAGAGTTGAAATCAGAAGGAGAGATTTATTCAGCATGGCTACATGGATTTGGGGGATTCACTAGCTCGCGCGCACGCTCTCTGTCTCTGTCTCTGTCTCTCTGTGTGTGTGTTTACGCAGTACTTTCCACTTTTTAACATACAATTCCCCTTTAAACTGCATAGTGTATCACCTGCTTTCTTCACTCCTACACAAACTCGTTGTTCAGGGGTATGAGTTGGGAGGTTAGTCTGCAGCAGCACCATTTTATCCCAGGAGTGCCATACAGTGACTAGTACACTCAAGACCCTGAGTAAGTACTAAAAATATATTTGAAATTAGATTTTCTTTCTGGTTTATGGAGTGCAAATTTCTTAGTTTCTGTATTGGGGAAATGCTAAAAAATAGTGCATGAGGCCTAGATCATGTAGCCTCACTGGTTAACAGAGCTGAGTTGGAAGTCACAAAGTTAAAAGTGTCCAGGTATTAATGGTTTCTTGGGTTGTTGGAAGAAAGGAGAGAGGCTAAGTCTCCTTCCCTGGACAGTGTTTCAAACTTCAAACCTTGTTTGTGACCTGTGAGCTTATTACCACCCTCAAGCTGCTTAACAAGGACCTTGCCCTTCCCTCGGCAGCTTCAGTGCCCTTACTTAGGTGGTCAGGTTGTGCCTAAACTTTATGCCCTCACCCCACCCCCAAACCCCCCGGGCCAGAATATCCATGTAGCAGGTAACAGGTGCTGAGACTACCTATTCCGTACGCCCGTTTGTTCAGCAAGGTGCTGAAGGGGTAGTAGGACGGTCGCGGACAGGCAGTGCCTCAGACACCCGGGCGAGGACCCGCGCGCGTCCGTCGATCGGTTTCGGGGGGCCGGGGGCCTGAGGTCTGCACCTGGCGCACGCACGCGCACTACACCCAGCATGAGGGTCGCGGCCCTGATCAGGTAATGAGGGGCAGGTCCATCTCCGTCCTCCCCCCGGGAGAGGCTAGGTCCTGACTCGGCCGCTGCAGGCACCTCGGGAATGGAACCTCGGTGAGCCGCGTGGGCGGGCCGGCGCCCGGGACACCGGAAGAGGCGGGACTACCTGCAGCTCGGGCCCACTGGCCCTGGCATGCGCGCTTCCTCTCTGGCGTCCTTGGCGGAGCTGAACGGCGCTGGTAGCGGGGGCCTCCTCAGCGGTGGGCGCATGCTCACACCTGTTGGACTTTCCATCGCTCTGAACTCCGAGTGCCGCTGTTAACCTCGCTGACTTGTTACCCGTTTTTATCCTCTATAGTTTCCTCCAGTCTTAGAGATCTTTCCCAGGCTATCACTAGCCTGACACCGCCTCTGAAATCTACCCCATTCTCATCTCCTACCCCACGTCCCCAGTTTGGCAGAGATGGCCTTAGGATCCCTAAATGGCTTGAGATTGCTTTGCTCATACGTATTAAACACCTACCTGGGAACAACCTACCCACAAGAGATATATTCCCTCAGGGTGGAGTTGCAACTGTGCTAGTTTAGGCTAGATGTTATTGAGCGTGTGTTGGATACAAAGAATTGGTCATACTGACCTTGGGCAACCTAAGTCATATTGTAAAAGTCGTTTGAAATCCATAGTAACTTACTTAGAAGTCTAGATAGGGTAGCTGATAAGCAAAAGGAGCCGGATCTGCACAGTTTCTATACCTGAAAACGATAAGGGAAATACTAGCAATGTTAGAGACAAAGTTTAAAGCCCTTAAATACTTTGAACTTGAGATTTAGACCCCTTAAGTGAAGAGTTAGTTCCATTGCATTGTTTCAGTCTTTTTCTGAAAGCACAATGAAGCATACATAAACATTCTTGTTTAATGCCCTAGGTAACTGATGCTAGTTGACAATGTTTTATAAGACTCATAAGAAGCATATTTATAAGAGGCATATTTCAGTGCCTCTGTAGTGACAGGAAAAAAGCCAGTTCTGTTAATTCCATGCCTTTTTAAGGAAACTATACTATAATGCCACTGTAATTTAATACATTTTCCCATAAAGCAAATAATGAAGTTTTAACCATCATGATTATTTGGTGAAGAGATAACAGGTAAAAGTAGGTCAGGGAGCTAGTGATTGGAATTTAGTTCACAAAAAGCTCAACTTAGTGATAGAACAAGTGAAACTGGAGACGAGGAAGTATCAGTGTGGTCTGTTTCTCAAATACTCAGTAGCAAGTGTATTTGAGTTTGGAAATAAATAATTTACTGAATAATGAAGTGCTATTTGAAAAAATTTCCCACATTTTTAAGAACTATATGTTAGGAGACAAGAATCCAGAGAGTAAATATACCTATTTTATTGTATATATATTTATATTGTGTATAACATGTAAATTGTGTATAACATGTAAATATACATTTAAGCTTCATTGTGATAAATCTGTTGGCATTGTGGTATGTGTATGCATGTATTTGGATGTGTATGTGCAACAATTGGTTGGGCATAAGTGTACTTCAGGACAAAATGAAACACATTCTTACATATTATTAGATCAAGGGCTTAAATACATCCCGGAATTTCACTGTTGAATGTAAGCTTGAAGATTATCTAGGCAGGATATTTTAAATGTATACTGAAGCATTAAGCCCAAATACATGTAACTAAGCTTGTTCCTAGATTTGGAAACTAAAAATCTGTTCTGCAGGACTGTTCAAATGGCACAGTGTGCCCAGGTATTTATGGGAGATTGCTTTTAGGACCCTCAGGGATACCCAAATCTTCAGTTACAAAGTTCTCAGTATAAAATGATATGTAGAGCCGGGTGGTGGTGGCACACGCCTTTAATTCCAGCACTCAGGAGGCAGAGGCTGGTAGATCTTTGTGAGTTTGAGGCCAGCCTGGTCTACAGTGAGTTCCAGGACAGCTAGGGCTGTTACACAGAGAATTCTGTCTCCAAAAACCAAGCCAAATGAAATAAAATGATATGTAGAACCTATATTCATCCTCCCACCATATGCCTTGAGCTATCTTTAGATGACATGATACCTGTAGAACATAATGCTATGTTTATAGCTGTTACATTGCACCTTTTAGTGAATTAACAAATAATCTACACGTTCAGTACAGGTGTCTGTCCCTAAAACATTTTTGATTTACAATTAGCTGGAATCATAGATGTGAAACCCATTGCTATGAGGGTTGACAGAGGGGCTGACTGACCTTAGCTACTTTATGGAGTTGTAAGAGGAGAGTAAAGTTGTTGGCATTCATAAGATTCTTTGCCCTTGAAAACTATTTGTTCTTTGAGTACTTGTTTTCTGCAGCACACAGCTTGGAAAATTCTTTGAAACCATATTTAAAGAGTTGACATATTTTAAACCATAAAGCTAAGTAGAGATTGTGACTGTTCACCCATGAATCTTCAATATATTTTACAACTTTGTTGTTTGTTTCTTGTCTGGGGGAAACAGTAATAGGATCTGAAAGACCTACTTAGGAACATATCTGAAAAGGAGGATCCTGGGCTTTATAATACGCTTCATTGCCCTTTGCATTCTCTTCCTCTTGAGAAATCCTACAATGAAATTGTCTAGGTAATGATGACCAAAGGACTGATTATACTAATGTTTGACTATTGATGTGTGTTAGCATTTGGATTTTCGTTGTGTAGAATTTAGAATCAAACATATCAAGGTCTATGATACAGTTGGACTGGGATTTTTAATATCATACTTTTGATGAGTATTGGTAGCCAGTAGTTAGTTTTCATATAGTTGGAACAGATTAAATAATGTTTTACTTTATTTTATGTTTATGAGTGTTTTGTATATATGTACATCTGCACACCACTTGCTGACTTGGTGCTTATGGGAGCCATAATAGTATTGGATCCCATGGAACTGGAGTTACAGATAGTTGTAAGCATCCATATGGGTACCTAGAGTTGAAGCCAGGTCTTCTGAAAGAACAGCCAGTGCTCTTCACCACTGAACCTTCTCTTTACCCCTTAGATTTTTTCTTTAATTAAGGACTTTCATCCAAGAAATATATGGAATAAGCATTTAGCTAGAATATCATTTTGAATAATTTATTATGTACATATTGCTTTTTATCTTACATAAAACTGTCACAAATATACTTTGTTTAGGACGTCTGTATTGTAGATACATATAATTTCATAAGTTTCTAGAAGTAGCAGCGTTAGAAATTCAGATTCATGTGCTCAGTTTTCTTCCTATTTACAAATATATGTTTTATACTATAATTGTGAAATGGTCCATCATGGAGTCTGAAAAGCAAAGTAATTATGTGATCGATTTTGATGTCCAGTGATTCTGTGTTTAATGACAATCAGGAGCCTGACATTCATACCTTTCTCTCCACTGACTTGTTTTTCAGTGGTGGGAAGGACAGCTGTTACAACATGATGCAGTGTATTGCTGCAGGGCATCACATTGTTGCTTTAGCAAATCTGAGACCAGATGAAAACCAAGGTAAGTATATGACTTTTTTTTTTGGACCATTCTCTAAATGGCTGCAGCTCAACTTTATTATTGTGTTTGGTAAGAAACAATCTGATGCCTCATAGGTTCTTAGTTTACAATATATGTATGCCACCACTCAAAAGATGCCCTTAGCTCTCTTAGATATAATGAAGCATGTAAGGCTTCCCTTTGTACTCTCCGATAGCTCATGAGCCTCTTGAGAGAAGATGTAGTATCTTAGACTTTCCTAAGAATGCTCGTCAGCTCTTGGAAGCGCTGTACCTGTAGTAGGTGTTTATTGGCAGACTAGTGAGTACTGGACTCAGTTAAATTAGCCAGTTTACTTATGGTGGATATTTGAATAATTCTGAAACTGATGTGGGAAGATGGAAATTGGGAGTATTTTATAGGAAGAAAGGAAACGAGCTTACAAAGGACATGTGGGTAAATTTATACTTTAGGATTTGAGACTGGGCTCTGGTGATGAGTGAGCTAGGGTTATAGAAGTAAGGTTTTTCTGAGAAGCGCTCTCCAGTTCTCTGAAGGTGATAGGACTATGCTGTAGCCTTTTTTGTGAAGCAGCAAAACCCCCTTACAGACTGCTGTTACCAAAGGAGAGACCCCATCTGTCCCTTGCCTCAGGTTGGGCAAGTGAGTCTTTTTATCTGTCTTTAGAATTCTTAGTACTAAAAAAGTGTATGTTCATAGGATGTGTAATGCACATATGAAGTAATTTCCCTCTCTTGAATTTCTGTCTTATGTCCCGCTTTCAACCTGGGCTATTTATTGTGGAAAAGATCATTGTTGTATAATCATCCATGTATCCATTTTGCTGGGAGAACAGTAAAATGACAAGCAAGTATATTTTTTAAGTTACACTTATTAATAGAATGGAAAGATTTATTAGAACATTGGTAGTAATGAAAAATGCATTTAGAATATTATGAATTAAAAACCTGGAGATATCAACTTATGCTGTGTAATTGGTGCAGAAGAGAATAGATTGTTGTGGATCAACAATGGACAGGGTTTGGTAATATTGATTTAAAGTCAGCAGGATGTTGGAACTGTTGAGTGAGTCACCGAATGATTTAAAAAAAAAAACTCTTTAAATGCTCTGAAAGGAACCTCACTGAGGAACGCGTGGCTCCATTGAAGAGCAAAGCTGGCTATAATGTATTTGCAACATATCATGTTTTTCACAGTATTGGTTTGCAGTAGATACCCTGGGAAAGAATTTTTTTTCCTGTCAATGAGGATAATGTGCAGTTGTCAGAACCACCCCTTTAAGTCTGGAGTAGGAGCTTTGGTGGTATGTTAATTGAAGTGCTTTAGGCAACAGTGGAGACGTGGTTTTGTTTGCTCTCACACGGTTGCTGCTGTGTGGCTCCCACTCATGAGGTTGTTGTGGTAAGGACTACATGGAGCCCTAACGAACATATATTGTGTTTTGAAGCCATTACAATGTTTAGTAGTTGTACCAATTTCAGGATGTTTCTTGCTATGAAGCTTGTTTTGTGTAATAAATCGATTTGACCAATATCCTTTAGTAAAAATACATTAAAGACTCACTCTAACTTGGTAGGATGGAAGAGTGAAAAGGTTTAGAGTGATTTGACTAAATCTCTCTTTCATACTGAGTGAGGAGTAGACTTAGAGTAATGTGTGAGTATTGTTTTGTAGGAAGCCAGGCAGCTGAGGGCATCAGAAATCTGATAAGCCCAAATGAGATGGCATATGATGATACTACTGATTGTTGAAAAACATTTACATGGTTATTCATTCCTTTTAATAGAACATTTCCACACTTGAAAACATACATGTACATATGTGTCTGTCAAAACTACTTTGTAGTCTATTATTTGTAGCTTAACATATTGTAAACATGATATTTAGATAGTATTTAAAATCTAAACACAAAATAAAATAAAAATGTAATTAGAATAAAGCATGAAGTCATAGAAACCATACTACTTGGGGATTTTGTTGGAAGCATGGTGGCTACTTGAAATTCCTACTACCTAGCCAGGTGGTGGTGGCGCACGCCTTTAATCCCAGCACTCAGGAGGCAGAGCCAGGCGGATCTCTGTGAGTTCGAGGCCAGCCTGGGCTACCAAGTGAGTTCCAGGAAAGGCTCAAAGCTACACAGAGAAACCCTGTCTCAAAAAACCAAAAAAAAAAAAAATATTGTAAACAGTTTCAATGGCACTAAATATTAGTCTCAGTATCATTTCCCCTAGATCTTCTCGGTATGAACTGTAAATGGTATGAGGATCTTTTGAAGAGGTAGTTCATACTCTGTCCTTTTATTAGAGGAACTGAAAGCATATTAGTCTATGAAAATCTTCAACAGACACATCTACTTAGACTTATTTACATACATGCTTTTAAAATGTATTTGATGTAAAATCCTTCTCCCCCGTGTTGTAAACATTAATATCTTATGGGATTTGTATTCTGGAGAATACACTTTAGAAAGTTCATCAAAGACTGCATATCACTTTATTATATGACTATAATATAGTTTTTAATCTATTATAAATAATGCTATAATGAATGCTACCCATAATGATATGTGTGGAATCTTGAGACAACTGGTAATTATATCATGGATTAGATTCAATTTTCATGTTTCCATATATATATTGGTAACTGCTCTAACAAATATTGAATTTAGATGTATATGTTTTGTTGATATATTGATTATAAAACATACCAAGTATATCTAAATTTTTCTGCCAAGTACATATTACTTACTAAGCCAGTATTTATTTAAGAAAAGTTTTTATTAAAAGTCTAAATGATTTTTTGAATAACCTGAATGATTTTAATAAACTTACGTAATATAATTTCTAACTGAGTAAACTAATTAAAAATTTATTGAATACATTACTCTTATCTTTAAATGTTGTATATAATTTTAAAAATATAAATGTAATCCTGTTAATAATTAGAAACACAGATGATTAGAGATGAAGTGAACTTAATTTAGCTATAGACAAATGTTCAATGCTTATATATTACTTCACTTATAAATGCAGTGAGATATGGTAAGTTTTTAAGCTTAGTGTTGACTTCTTCAAGTGGTAAAAGTTACTTCTTAAAACTCGTTTGTTTTTTACTCTGTCTTACCAATTATTTCTATTTAACTATTACAGTGGATTCAGACGAACTTGATAGCTACATGTATCAGACAGTGGGTCACCATGCCATTGATCTGTATGCAGAAGCAATGGCTCTTCCCTTGTACCGCAGAACCATAAGAGGAAGGAGTTTGGAGACAGGAAAAATGTATACCACATGTGAAGGTGATGAAGTTGAAGATCTCTATGAACTCTTGAAACTTGTTAAGGTATGCACAGTGACTGTACTTTTTGAACTTTGTAACTTTCATTTATTGAGTTATTTAATATTAAATACTTTGAAGATATTCTTTGAAAGGATATTTTATCTTTTGGGTAGAAGTTAACAAAAAATTTGTTAGTATGTCTTTATATTAGACTATGGAAAAATAAGATTTTGGATATAGATTTGCATTTAAGCTTGTCACATGATTTTTTTTCAATATTTTTTATTTTATGTCTATGTGTGTTTTGCCTGCATATATGTATGTGTACCATGTTCATACCTGGTACCTACAAAGGCCAGAAAAGGGAAATAGATTTGCTGAAACTAGAGTTATAAATGGTTGTAAACCTTCATGTGGGTGCTAGGTACCAGCGCTTTTAACTGCTTAGCCCTCTTTCCAGCCCCCTTGTCAAATGATATTTTTTTTTCTTCGGAGTATTTAAACATAAGTATTGAATCTTTTTTCTTCAACAGATTTCATTTTGAATTCCTATTAAACAAATCAATGAGTTCTGTTTCTTTATTAGATTACACTGTCTAGTTGCAAGAATAAGAGAAGGAGCTGACAAACAACATGGTTGATGTTGAAGAGTATTGGGGAAGGAGTGATGCAGTGCCAAGGTGGTAGCAACTGATAGCATGAGATAGCCAGGGAATGTGTGGACTGTGTGTACCTCAGTGAGACCTCTCAGACAATGTTAAGGTTAGATAGACCCGAGACCAGAAGGTAGGAAGTCAGATGCTGAGCTCTGAATAAATTTGGCAGGATTATGAATGAAATATGCCATTGTATGTATTATTTTGTTGTCCATCATTCCTTCATGATTAGTTCCAGCACACAGAATTTTGGAGAGAAATGTAGGCTCATCTGTCTAGTAGATACTACTGTCAGTGAATGTTGAAGGAGATTATATTGAACAGTCATCATTGTATTCTCATTGATAATCAACTACTTGAGGACAGTCGGTATTCTTCCCAAATATAAATGTTTATTCTGTCACTATACATAGTCAGTTCACATAAGGCATACTGATGGGGAACTTAAGTTAGTGTGTACTGAATATCTCAATATTTTTACAGGGGAAAGAAAAAAGTTCCGTCCTTCCCTGCACCATTGCTTCTTCACTCTGTAGAAAAGTTCAGCCCTTTCCCAAGTTTTGTAATGAGCATTTTCTAATTGCAACTATAGGATATTAGTCAAAGCTTTATATTGATTAACAGTTTTGATTAAGAAAAATACGGGTACCTAAATACATTTAAAGTATCTCAATTAAAACAGTTCCTATTTTGTATGTCAGAGCATTTTTATCTTAAAAAGAAGCACAGGGAATGGTCGATTTGCAGCTTGCTATTTAGTTGGCTAACATATGAAGTGGATACTTTGCAGAGACTGTCATTGGACGCTGCATGCACATTATAACTACTGTGATTGCCAAACAAGGAGGAAGGAAATGACTTTTGCTCCCAGTGGTTGTCTCTCCAGAGAGATGCAGCTAGCATTGTTCACTTGGAGATGTAAAAACAGAATGTAGATCTTATATTTTCACATTTGTTTTTCAGAATATACTGAAATTAGGTATTAACATATCAGTATAAATCAATATTACAAAATGGTGGAACTTGCTCTAGAAATAATTGGGTTGCTTAAAAATCACAAATGTGGTAACTTTGAAGAAATCCTTTGATAATAACAGCCATCCAGGAAAGGGAATGATAATAAATTACTAATCAGTTTAATTAAAAGTGAGCAGATTAGTAGTAATTAAGAAGAAATCCCCTTTCTCTTCATGCTGTCTTTGGAGAAATGGATGCTTTGCCATTATCTTGATAGTAACCGTCAATTATGACATAAATTAATGCTAATGTTAAATCTTGACAACTTCTGCTTTGGAATTTCATACATGATAATTATAACTATAGTTGAAAGAGATGTTATCAAGTTGTCTGGGACTAAATAGTTCCTTCTTTTCCTGTGTAAAAATATTAATTTTACTATAGGATATTTTAAAGACATGAATATCAGAAATATATTACTTTTATGAAAGAAATTGTATAGCTAAGCTTTTAAAGTTAAATCCATTTGTGAAACCCTGGTACAAAGATTCCAGTAGAGGTCTCATATATTCTAATGAATAATTGAGTAATTATGGAAAAAAAAAACTAACTTAGAAAGGCTATAATTTTCAAGTTTGTCTCAACTCGTTCTAAGCAGAAGAACTGCACTTGAAGTTTTTGAATGTGAATGCAGTATTGAGCCACCAGAACTTATGTTTATTTAAACTGTTCATTCCTAACAGGTTATACTCTTATAAGTGTTACATCTGTCTTTGGTTTTTATAATTTTTCCCCTTCAAACATGAGAGCCAGATTTTGTCTAGGGTGGGCTCCACTTTTCAAATAATTCAATTTATTTAAGTAGCAAAGTCTTAGAATTATAAAGTTCAGGAAGTTTAGAATTACAAGTTTCTTGTTTTGTTGAAGTTGGGAAAACTAACAGAAATGTAACAGTCCATCACATCTCTTCAATTGTTGGGTAGCTGTGAGTCTGATACACATATCTGAAGCTGTTTGTGAAATACTTGGTTTTTTTCCTGTCTTTTATATTCTAGTATTGAAGTGTAACTGGGATGCTTTTCTAGTTTAATATGGTGTGACTTTCCTTTTCTGAAACCAGTAATTTATGAATTGTGTGTAAGTTTCTTTATTAAAGCATGTTAAAAGATACAAATTAGCATCATTGTTTCTATAGAATCATGTTTAAGGATCAATATATTTTCTTTTCTCTACTGATTTGGTGTTGTTTCTTTCTAGATCTGAGGTTTCTTCCCAATATCCCCATTTCAGTGGAATGTTTCTTTAATAAGATATTTCCAAATGGGAGATCCTTTCAAATTCTTACACTTTGAAAATGTTTGGATTTTGCCCCCGAGTTTTCACTGATCATTAACAAATGCTTTCCTGTAACTCTTCTATAATTGCCTAGTGATAGGATATCTCTTGAAAGCTTGTCCCTGGTGGATGACAACCTAAATGACAACCTATATATCTAGCCCATTTACAATATGACATTCTGGCTGTATTGACTGGACCAGGAATGGTTTGGTCCTAACAGAATAGAGCCAGTGGTAACTGGGAAAAGGTAAGTTCTTCCACTTGCCTGGAGAGATGTTGACTGTAGGATGTAGATATTTAATAGCCCTTTGCCGTTTACTTTTTTTAATTTTGAAAGAGAAATGTTTAATGTCAATTATAACAGAAAAAAATGGCACAACCAGAGGACTTACAGTGTAAGGAAGGCTCTGGGAAGTCCTCTTTTGATACTTGTTTGATAATTTTTTTCTTCTCAATTTTCTTCATGTTCTTTTTTCATCCCTGGTAATGCCTGGTCAGAAATTACACTTTGTAGAATGAAACTTTATCTAACTTCTATTTTTCCAAGTATTTTTCATGTCTGTGTCATTTGTAAGGACAAGATGTTCCTTGGTGGATTAGAATGGGCTTGAATTCCTAGTCCTGTCTGTATGTCCTGTGTGTGTGTACACCCATGTGGAGGGCAGAGGTTGATATTAGGTGTTTTTCTTAATGGTTTCTCCACCTTATTTTTTGACATGGAATCTCTGAATTGTCCTGGAGGTCACTAATTGGACAGAATACAGTATACCTGGCCATTGAGCCCCAATAATTTTCCTTTTTCTGGGTCCCCAGCACTAGAAATACAAACAAGTTACTGTATCTCTTTTTGTCTTGTTTTGTTTTTGTTTTTGTTTTTGTTTTTACCTAGATGCTGAACATCTGAACTCAGGTATAGCTTAGGTCTCATGCTTACTAGGAAGCATCTTACCTGCTGAGCCATGCTCTAGCTCCATGTCTTTTTGTTCTTATATATTGTTTATATATTGTCTTGTCTATATATTCTTTGACAGTGCATTTGTAATCTCTTTTATTTTGGGATTGAGTTTTTTAAAGCAGTATGTCTCCAATAGCTAAGAACTTTATTTATTGATATTTCTTTTTCCATATGGATGCTTTTCTTTTTCTATAGTAGTGACATCACCTCCATGATTCCTAAAACATGAGTAAAAGATTTTAAATATTATCTGTTGCTCCCTCAACTACGACTGTTTACTTTGGATCTCTCCTATTGTATAAGAATAAGAGAAAAGTTGATTGTGAATATGTTGGTTTCAGTTTTTCCAGACTTATGGCTGGAACTTGTGAAGCTTGAGTTAATGATAGTGTGGCCTCACCTGGCTCCTTCTTGCCTTGTTCTCTTCCAGGCAACAGTAGATTGTGCATTCTTTGCTGATTAATCAGTTATCATTCTTTTATCTTCTTTTTGTCTCAAGCAAGAAGTTGAGATATTCTGGCTCTGATAGCTCCCTCTTGTTCTTGTTTTTGAAAGATAGTACCTTTGTGTCATTTTAATAGAATTTCAGCATCCAGAACCCCATATTATCTTCATTCTAATGGAACATAGTTAACGTGCTTCTGTAACTTGAACATTCAGTTTCAGTCTTCCTCTTCTGACTATTGACACTTCTCATGGGCAAATTCCTTAGTGTACATGTATAAGTTAAGTATGGTATGAGTAATTGCTTTTTTTTATTCTTGAAAATGGAATATCTATTGTTGAAAGAAGGCTAATAAATCAATGTTTTAGTTTTGTTTTGTAAAATACAATACAAAACCATAATATCTTCACCTTTGTTTTTAGATAATGTCAGTTGCTGTGTTACATTCTCTGAGAATATATTTATTACAGGGGAGAGAAAGTCCTAGCCAATCACTTTTTTTTCTTTTTATTGAAAAAAGATTTTTTCATACAATATATTCTGATTATGTTTTCTTCTCCCCAGTTTGCCTGATACCCTTCCTACCTCCCCTCCTATCCGAATCCATACCCTTTTTGTCTCTTCTTAAAAGATAAACAGGCATCCAAAGAATAGTAATAAAATAAAATAAAATGAAATGAAAACAAAGAAATCAGAATAAGACAAAACAAAC